ACATTCACCCAAACCCCTCCTGCAACTGCAAACTGGCTGGCACTCCTTTCCTTGCTTTGCGGCAGGGCTGGGCTGCAGCTGCTGCTCCCGCGGGAGGAAGGCCCTGCGTGCTGCACGGTGCCGGGGGGCACAGCGAGCCCCCCAGCCCGCTGGCCCATCACCCCTCCCGGCCTCTCCTGTCCCTCTTCTTGTTTAGTGAAGGGAAGAGGTAAAGGACGGGCCCGCTACAGAATACTGAGAGCCACTGTCCTTATAATGTCACTTTGTGTAACCAGCCCGAACATCAGCTCTGGGGTTTTACTGTTTTACTTCTTCATGTTCACTTCTGTCTGCTATCTCTCCAAAGGGGAAAAAAAAAAGTCATAATTCCTTCAAATGTAATGAGCTCTTTATATTGCATGTTTATATCACATTAAATGCCCCAATTTAGCAGATTCTACACAGGGGTAGAAACAGTATGAGGCATTATTATGAAAACCGGACCAGGTATTTTCCCTAGCACGTAAGACAAAGTCAGTAAATCAGAAGACTTTAGAAAAGCTACTGGAATGTAAACAAGAAGAGACTTTGTCTTCTTTCTCTTCTTTCATTAAACATTCCTTTCTAGGGCTGCACTAAAGAAAACCTCACTTCTTTCCCTACTCATTTTTAAAGAGTTGGCATAAATCCTTTTAAAATACATAGCAATAAGACAGCAATTCAAAGGAATATTCAAGTTATTGGCCACATTCTCCCATGACAAAAATTAGTTTGGCTACCCTAAGTCCAGTTAGAGAATCCCAGTGAAAAGGACTATTAAGATACACAACTGCTGGCTCCGCAGTGTGCATTTCCCATTAAACGGCATATTCCTGAGTCATCAGTCTGTCCTACAAAATGCATGTACTCCTTGTGCAACACTGCGGGGTGGCACGCGAAGCGACAGCGCGGGAAGGGGCAGGAGCYACGGCGCAGCAGCTAGGAGCAGGGGCTGGGAGAGCGAGAGCCGGGCACGGCGCTACGCTACGCTGCACTGCTACGGGCTCGCTGCCGCCGCCAAACTTACCTCRAAACTATACTCCCATTTACCAGCATACTGRCAGAAGGAGAAAAAACAGAAAAATCAGCCATTGGAGTCAAGCAGCGACTCGAGAAGCATCTTTTTGGTGCAGATGCTCATCTTCCAGTGCCCACATTTCCGATCGCTTTGCACAAATGTTTGCTGACACACGTAACGTCAACCTCACTGGATGAGATCCTGACATCCTGAGTCATGACTCATGAACAAGGATACGAAGCTATTTTCTATCAGATATGACACATCTGCAGCATTTTTCCCCCGAAACCTCTTTGCTGTGTTTCATGTCCTAGGACATCTCCACGTGTGAGAGYTGCCCGAGATGTCACCGGAGTCGAAGGAGGCCCCGACGGGGCTGGCAGAGCGGCTCGGTGCCAGCCGGCAAGGGCAAAACAGCAAAGCTGGAGAGCCAGAGCTCATCCCGCCTGCAAAACTGCAGCGCCGGGCCCTGCAGGTGCGACCCCCTGAGCCCCCCACGGGGCCCAGCTCTCACCAAAAGCTGCGCACAAAATTGCCCGTTTTTACCCCGCAATCAGATGCACGAGGCGCACGTCGCTCATCACTCACCTGTCACCCAACACATACTGTGAAACCGGGCTGGTAAAAGGGAATGTTCTTACCAAAGAACTTTCTTGGAAAGGAAAAGACAGGGAAAGGCGGGAGCGGCTTCCTGACTAAATGAGAAATGGCATTTTGGWGCTAGGCTGCTGCCCCGAGCAGGCTGCTCTCGCTGAGTTTCCTCCTGCTTGCCCTCAGGGTATCCCTCTTCCCCTCTTTTGAGTCATGTCACCTGGGGCACTAAAAAGACCTGGCCTGGGGTGAATTTAATATTTGTGAAAACRCTGAAGTGCAGGTGAAAATCCAGCTCCTCCCGGCTCTGCCCGTGTCCCTCCGCCTCCACTTCCAGCACCAATTCCAATGGGAATACGGACACTTTGGGCAGGAGAACGTGAGGGGAAGGGCTCTGCAAACAGGTCACTTCAAACTAATTAAAGCTGATGATTTCACAAATACGGACAGCAGCTTCAGATTTACCCTAAACATCTTCCTYGTTCCCTGCTTATGTCTGTATAATGTATAGAAATGTATACGATAAAAGTATAAACACTAGGAATAGCTAAAAGAACTGTTGCATTATTAGGGGATGTACAACTCCTCGGAAAAGATTTATTTTCTGTGAATCACTTACATGTATTTGAATGCCATAATTCAAATAAAACCAAGTCTGAATGTCACAGAAAAAATAATAACAGTATGAAAAAAAATTACCTTAAAATTCTTAYTGAGAAATCACTGTTAATGAAAGGAGAGACCAGCCCGAACCGCAGAGATGCAGACACTGCCCGCTGCGGTGTGAGAATGAAAGGGAGCCGGTGGAGGGCCTGGGCTTCACAGGCAGCAGAGCTGGCCACGAGCCGCTGCACGGCTGGCGCGAGAGCCCCTGCGAGGGCTGCATTCCCTTCCTGCGCGCTCCATCTAACGGCTGCGTGTGCTTTTACACAGCTGCTCACAGAGCTGCCGTTACAGCTCCGTTACACAGGAAAAGATAGCACGTTGTCAGCGTTAAGCGTAAGCGGGAGCACGCTGGGTGGGAATAATGCATGCCTCTATTTACAGAGAGCTGAAAGCAGCTGGTTTACACAAGAGGTTATGGCAGGGTGCAATGGTCGGCACCCCGCACGGCGCTTCCCGAGGACACGGCGTTCCCTGAAGAGCCTGCTCACGGGCCGTGCGTGTCTATATGAAACCACCCGGTGCTGGGAAAACTGGTATGTAGCGGAGCGAGGGTCTCCCCTGCGGACCTGGTCCATAGGTGAGAGCTGCAGCAGATGCCCCCGGTGCGGCCTGTTCTCTGGGCAATGTTTTCCCATCTCCTCTGGGTTTTCAAACTCTCAACAGCAACCTGTTCTGCTCGGAGAAAGGCACTTTGTGCTCATCCTTATTGATTTCCATTGCCTCCCATGGCTGCTCCAACTACAACCAAAAWGTAACCTGGAGTGCAGGTCAAAAACTGTGCGGATTTGCCCGGAGAGCCTGGGGCGAAGGCAGCGCCGGGCCGGGGCACCCCAGGACGAGGGGCTCGCTCCGCGCGCGCGTAAGTGAGCGACCCAAATCACCAACAAAATATGAAAGCCAGACAAACAGCAACGAATGCCGGGAAGCCACCGTCCCCYGGCTGGCTCCCTGCTTTCTAACAAGGCAAGGAAACGCTCCCGTTCCAAGGCAAAAGTGCAAACAAAACGTTTTCATTTGCAGGTGCTGCTTCCTGCTTCACTTTAAAAGAACTGCTCAGCTGTAAGATACTAATAGCGACATGTTGAGAAGTATTTTCAATTAGTTCTGCAAGGTCTCCCTAAGGTCCTTCCAACATCCACATCCCCCTGTCCCATCCCACTGTATGAGCACATTAAACTGTGAGTTGTATGTGGGGAGTGACCAAAAAARCAAAACACAATCAATGATCTTCAAGAGCCAGAAGAAAACTTGAAAAGCTGTAATGTAAAAGGATTACTTTTTTCTACTTTATATATTTAACAATGCAGAATACTTCTTTAAGTTTGTAGCAGTACATGGGCATCTCCTAGAAATGAGTTCCCTCTTGAACAGTCATTTGGCCTTTCCACTCCTCTAATGATTAACTTCGTGGAAACAAATTTAAAACAAATTGACAAAAAAATGTCAATCAAGGGAATTATTTGTCACTCCAGATTTTAAACTACAGCAATATTAGCCTCTCATGCCACCAGGTTACGGCACTTTCAAATACCTCCCGTTCTCTGGGGTTATTTTACTGAAAATGACCTTCTGCCTCTGCAGAACGCGTGGGAAGGCGCGTGGCCGTGCGGCGCGCTGCCTACCTCGGCGTCGTACTCCCAGAGCTGGTTCCCCCGCAGGTGGTGGCACTTCAGCATGATCACGGGGCCGTTGAGCCTCGACACGTCCAAGCACAGATCGTCCGTGCGGATCTCCTTGTCAGCGGTGTAAGAAAATACCTGGGAAGGGAAAAAGGCGACAATTGCAAAGCCCTGGGAGCACAGATCCCTAAATGGGTGCTGCTCTGGAGTGGGAACTGCCCCTTCAGGCACCTCGTGCTGCCTCCGCAGGGCGGCCAGCGGCGCGGAGAGGAGCAGCAAGGACTCCATCCCCGAGCTCCACAGATTAATATAATCGCAATCATTATCTTCAGGAATCATTTCACGGATTTTTTAATAGACTGATAAACTAACCCAAATATCTGAAGCACCAGAAAGGTTTTAGATGGAATATTCTTACCAGTATCTGCTTCTTTTCTTGCACCAAGGGTTATCTCTGCTAAAGATCTGGATARAGACCTGTGTTCCTGAGTACTTCAGGAGTACCAAATGCCTTAGTAATGTCAGCAAATAAAGAGATGGGAGACCAACGCATCCCACAAGCAACACTTCCCCACACCAGCTGCAGGGATGCACTAGGAAATGGAATTTCCCCTAAAATGCCCTAAAATATCTATTGATGTTCCCAAATATCTATTTCATTCACAGCTAAAACACCCCCTAGTTGTCCAGAACCATCCCTATATTTCTATGCACATATTATACAGTTATTTTATCCTTCATTGTGCTCATTACTTAAAATGTCATCCATTATCACTTATCTTGAACCAATTTATACTTTAATCTGTAACTTATTGTGTTTTTGTATGATAAACATGTGAGCAAGAGGCATTTCCTTCTAGCTCAAAGACACAGCAGAAGTCCTCTTCTGTGCTTTACAAACAGCAAAAGCTCGGGTTTGAAATGAACTTCCATTTGCAACGTTGTGTTCTGCCCTTACCCCTGATAACTGCAGTGCCCTGTTCCACTGCATCTCCTGAACGAGCGCGTGATGTCTGAGCTCACAGCTACAGAGGACGGGCTCCAAAAAGACGCAGTCTTAAGAAGGAAAAATGAACGCTAATTAAGGACAAGTAAAATTACCAGGCTAGCCYTTTTCTTACATCCATAATAATCAGAAATATAATTAATGTCCTCATAAAAACATGTATTAACATCCTCATAAAAGCAGAGGAGGGCAAACAACACGATGCATCTTCCAGGTAATGCTCCTGCAGGAAGCCCCTGAATGCCTGGGCGGCCAGCTGGGTGATATCTGTTTTATATCAAAATCATCCTGCTGAGGAAATCAGAGAGGGATCCGAGAGGGACAGTCCCAAAGAAAAGTGTCCATACCCGCATTCCGAAGGCTCACCTCTGGGAATATTGTTCACGAGCGGCTACTTGGTACTTCGTTATGTGGAGCTAAACCCGCAGACCCCATCTGTGCTGCCCGGGAAGGAGCCCGTAGCGCAGTGAAGACGGTCACAAACGGGGCAGAGCCACCACGGAAAAATCTCATTTATTCTGACAGCCGTTTTAATTATCCACGGACCTCCCAAGGTAAATTCTGCATCCACCTCTCAGAATTGATTTAAAATACTCTAATGAGAGCTGTGGGAAGGCAGTTTTCTTTTCCTCCTGAAACTGTTTACGTGCTAAATGCTGAAAGCCACCTTAGGCAAAACATGCAAATTGCAGCTATTACGCTACTATTAAAAAAACCCAAATCCAGGAATCCTACTGTTAAATTTCCAGTAAGTCACCTCTGGATACATTTTGCCCATTCCTTTCCAAACTCACATTCAATTATGAAGCCCAGACATTTACCGAAGGATTTTAGTGCAGGGACAGATCCAGAATACCCAYGCAGAAAACGCCAGCACAGGCTGCACACGTCAGGCTGGGGGTTTCCTCCAGGCTCAAGATGCTGTGTGAGCAACATCTGTGTTCAACAGGTGAGACCATCACGATAACGTCACTGCTTTGAAGGAAAAAACACCCAGCTCCAACATCGCCGTATTTACAGAACAGTTCTTTAGAAAAGTTCAAAACCTGATGTTCATCCCTAGTAGGGATCAGCCTAATCATGGGAACAGCAACGAATGGATGTTTTCTTCGCTTCCCCACAAACCGGCCACCACTGGGGTCTACACAATTAGCTGGATTGGGCTGATTTCTCTAGAGAACAGCAATTTCTGCTCTCATTAGCAACGCCGTGACGTGGAAACGGTTGTTTGGAGGATCCTGGTGAGCGTGCTGGGTGGTTCCTACCCAGACCCCTCCTGAGGAGCAGCTGCAGAGCGGGCTGCAGCTCTTGCTCCTGTGACAGCACCTTGGCACCCTGGCAGAAAACACCCCACCTGAAGGCATGCAAGTCCTCCAAGATGTTAAACCTCACCAGGAAGCTATTTAAGCTTCTTAACAGTAATTCTTCAGCTCATCAAAGTACTTGGGCACAGGCTGGAAGCATCTCGACAGGTCCCTGGCTGCACTGGGGCTGCTCCTCTGCTTGGAAATACACTTGAGTTTGACTTCAAAGTCTTCTAAASCAAGTCCCTTTGTGCCATGAGACCAGCCCTGCTCACCAGGCAGACGTTTCCATCATCCTGGGCAGGATGTCCGCGCTGCCCAGCTCGCAGTTGGGCACATTCATATTAACTTACCTCGCTGCTCCCCCAGCCTCTAGTCACCCTCACCCAGAGCTCGCGGCCATCCTGGTGCTCAGGCCCAAGGAAAACACCGGGGACTGAAGGATTTAGCACCAGATAACAGCCTTGAAGTGTGCAGCTGGAACTGCACTAAATGGTCAGAGTCATGACAGTGGTATCAAAGGAAACAAAAGCAAAGAGTCCTGCTTGGTAGCAGCCACTGGATGCTCTTACAGTAACGTTTTCACTGCCTAGACTTCATTAGTGCAGTGTGATCCATCGCATGCTGCTTCTCCCACGTCCCCGGGCAGCATTTCCACCCAGGCAAAGCAGAACCGCCTCGCTCTTTACCGAGGCTCTAAAAAGAAAACATCATTCTCACTCACATTGTGATAAATAGAAGATCTTGCTATTTAACGTGCGGGCATTGCTCCTCTGTTCCCTATTAATCAAACTTACTATAATTGCTCTTAAAGATCACCAAGGGTTCTGTTGTGCCGGGTCCTGAACAAATCAAACAAAAAATGAGCCAGTTCCTGCCCCTAAAGGTTTGTAATTACAGTGCATAAGGATGATGTAAAGTCTGCGAGGGAAATCATATATCAGCGAACAGGGCTAACAAAATATAAACTCTAACTAATTTTATTCACAAGGAGTTTGTTTGGAAAATGTGAAGCTCAACACAGAGCAAAGCTAAGGGAAACAGGAGCCTGAAGAAAGCAAAATTGAATAAAGCAAAGCAGAAAAGGGCCAGCTTACTTCYCAGTAATCACAAAATCCAGGATTTACTTAAAGTATTACAATGAGTAAAATCAGAGCGAACTACACTAGACTAATAAACGCTCTGACAGGTGCAGCATTTTCTTCTCCAGGAGATGTGGCTGCAGACCAGGGCCCCGGAGCTGCTCTCTTCTCTTCTTCAACGCAACCTTCATCAGAAGCATGAAAAATCAACTTGCGCTTAAATGTCCAAATATCACTAAATTAAATGTTGTTCTATTAAATCTTGTGCCTTGAGATGACTTAGAAGCTGTTAATATATCCGCGACTTAGATGCCTGAACAATGTATCAGTAACCAAACTACTTCCCTAGCTGTGTTAGCCAAAGCGGCGGCGTCCCCAGATGCGGCACCATGGCCATGGCCYGGCACCACGCGACAAGGGGCTTGGTGGGTTTCCAAATCCGCCCGGAATATTAACACGGGAAAAGGTGACTCCAGACAACTTACTCGAGGACTTCTGCTTAAGAAGCATCTCCCGAGCGGGACAGCGCCCACGTTCCTGCCCATGCTCGGACAGCAACAAACTGCCAGGGGTGCAGATAAAGCCTTGCAGACCAAGACTTTCTAAAGCAAAATCTTTCCTCTTGCCACTGTGCAGAAGCTGCTCTGACCTGAGAGGCACTTCAAAATACCAGTTTTCACTGTGGATAGGAAAAGGATAAAATGTCTATGAAACACGACAGTTTTTGAAGAGCTGTTACTGAGAACTAACCTGCAAAAGCAGCCAGGTCGTGTGTAACCATCAGCGAGTTCGAATTGAGCTTCCATACACAACACTGCCAGGGGGAAGCAACGTTCACCTTATATGTTTACTAAAATCTATAAAACACATTTGCTCTGTTACCACCCTGCAACAGATGCCACAAGGTGAACTAATACAGTGGAWAATCCTGGCCGATACAACATCATGTTCATTAAAAATTAATCCTGAAAAAACGCTGGAAAACATTCTGCTGGAATCGYGTCTCCCAGCGGGCCCTTTCCAAAGACATTTCTTCCCTGCAGAATCGTGTCCGAGCGCTTGCTGCATCGAGCTGGGGAGGCCGTGGACAAGAGCCAGCGTGTGCATTCCTTTTATTTGAAAAGATTACTGAGAGTCGGTTATTAATTATTCTTTATCRAGAGCAGATGGCCCCGAGCTGTTGTGGAGGCTCCAKCCTTGGAGATATTCACCGCCACACTGGACACGGTCCTGGACAAGCTGCTCCAGGTGACCTGCTGTAGCAGAGGGCTGGACCAGACGTCTCCAGAGATGTCTCCAACTCCAGCTGCTCGGGGACTCTGGGATGAGGTTTTGGGCTGAAGCAGCTGCCCTTCCCTTCCCATTTCAGGCCTCTGTGTGAACGCATCGAGGCAGGCTCTGAAACACCAAACATCCTGCAGATGCTCTCTTCTTTGGTAAGCAATGAAGGAGATTTAAGTGCTGAGGCCACRCATGCAAAGGAGCAAGGGTGCAGGGAAAACGCAGGTTTATTGCCAGACCCAGTACATTAGAGCTCTAGGTCTGAAAAAAGGGAATCCAGCGCTAGGAAATGGAAAAGCTACAGGAAACCCTGCAGCCCATGAGCTGCTTCACCTCCAGTTCGGCGCGGTCCCCATCCCGGTGACAGCCGGGGGGCCGGGGAGCCTGCTCTCCACCAAAGCTTGCAGGAATCCTGCTGCACCTCCTCCTGGCGTCGCGGGATGGCGGGGTGCCACCAGCAACGGTGACATTGCCATGGCAACAAGGCAGTAAAGGACTAGGTGCTGCGCCCAGCACCTCGACCGCAGGCAGGGACACAGGCTGCTCCACTGCGGACTGGTCAGAATTGGGATGTTCACTGCTCTGGTTAGGCTCATCTGAAACACCCCTGCACCATAAGGACAACCCCAGCTTTACGCTCTGCCCGCAGCTCGCAAACGAAGGACAACGCGTGTCCACAACCCCAGCCTGGAGATGCCATCCATGCCCGAGACCCTGTCCCTCTACAGCCACCTGAGCCTTGCACCCTCCGACCCAGCGCAGCAGTCGCTCACAGCACCTCATTTTCCTGCATGTTTTAAAAGATATTTGCATTCTTAGAATCTTGTGCAYACACCCTCTGAAGCAGTTTATGGCTACAGAATAATTTTAGCAGGTTTTGTCCTGAGATACCGGCTTTTGCCTCCAGCAGGAGCTGGTGTGCACGTTGCCCAGGGACTCTARTGAGCCACATATTATTCCTGCTTCCTTTCCACTCTGAAGCAGTTCTGTTCCATAGCTATTTTTGTGTAGAACCCCCCCCTTTCATTTTTTAGTTCTGTCCTAACTTCTCCTTATAAAGGAGCTGAATAAAGACACGACCTCATGGGAGCTGTGAATGCTGCAGGGCAGRTACTGCCAGCAGAAGCTGCCCAGACCACGGCTCCCGCTCCCTGCTCCGGCAGGCGCAGGGCATCGGGCTCGCTCCTCTCCGCAGCTCCGCGCAGCAGATTTACCTGTCCTTCCGCGCTGGTATCAGTAGCACAAGGGAGGCTGCAAACGTGCAAGTTCTTCAGTGGTTTGTGACCCAGTGGGTCAGGGAGGGAGGCCAAATTTACTCCCAAGGGGATTCTCCCCCTTGGCGATGCCATCCATGCATGTGGGCATTTGCAACCCGTCTGCCTATAGCTCGGAGCCYTGCAGCCCTCAGCCTCACAAGCAGCAACCCAGAGGAACCGTGATGGAGACATCACAGCTGACACCTCCTTTTCTGCTCAAAATCACCTTTTCCTGCTCTTTTTGCTTTTCTGGAAAACGAGGGGTCTCACTCTCATGTACAGAAAAGCAGAGAAAACAGAACACTCAGAATCCTCACCCAGGAATATATGAGGTTTTAATAAAATGGCAGCAGTTTGATCTCCTAAGTGAAATTTAAAGACATAGCAACATTTGGGGTAAATATGGTGGAAACCTTACCTGTGAAAGGAAAGGGGACAGAGTTTGCTATCAGATCCAACAGTGACACACTACAACTGTGTCAAAGTTCCCTAATTAGAGGTCAATATTGCAAACAAAAACTAATCCCAATATGCACCAGCTGTGTTCATTTAAACTGGAGGGATTAGAGCACGTGAAGTTTACTGATCTTGGCAGAGAGAACAGGTCATTAGCCATACAATAACAAGCTGAAAGAATTTCACTTTCCCCATTTTACTTCCCATCAGAACACACCTAAAAAATGGATGAAATACCCCACAGTCCAATTATTTGAGTCTTCACTAGTATTGAGAAAACTCACGTTGAGTGATGCACAGCCAAATCCGCATCTTGCACAAGCTACTTATTTTTTTTTCTTTTTCATATACACATTTTGGAAATGAAAGGAAATGGAAATGAAAGACTCTATGTGGAACATCATGGTCTCTCTGCCATGGGAAGGACGCAATGCAAGCACAGGCAGCGCTAGCAATCCCAGGGCCTGGTGTGGCCACAGCTCTGCAGGAGGGGAATGAGGACTAAAGCAGTTCCCACACAGACAATGAATAATCTGGGGTTTTTTACCTGATTTCCTCCCATGCCATGGCAATTGAAGATGCCCACTTTTTCATTCTCCTTGCGGCCCATGTTGTCCAAGCACTGGTTGGTCTCAACATTTCGGATCTAAGAAAAAGGCAAAATGAAAAAAGAGGCTGCAAATGTCCCTTTTTTTTTTGCAGAATAAGATACATAACCCCACGAAAAAATACATATTTGTGCATTCCGCTACATGAATGCTTCGATGTGCAGATATGTCATATCCACGATGTCTCAAAGCAGAATCTCTCTGCTCCTGCGGGGCTCCGTGAGTGGCCGAGCCCCCGCCTTCACCAGCACGGGCTGCCCTTTTGCAAGGGTCCCCAGGGACACAGGCCGGCGGTGACACAGGCCCCCGGGGACACGGGCTCCGCGTCGCTCCCCGCTGCTGCTGCAAGCTCCTCCGCAGCTCTGCGCCCCGGGAACGGCCGGCAACCCGCAGCGCAATTACCAGTCACCCCGCAACTGCGCCGCTTCGGGAGGCTTAGCAGGCATCCAAGTAAAGAGCAAATCAAGGCCAGTGCTCTGCGCTTAGAGCAGTAAAAGGAGATAGCAAAATCTGTCTGTAAATTTGCAGGGGAAGAGGGGATCAACAGAACTCAAGCATCTGCTTCTTAATCCACTCCAGCCTTTCTAAGCACAGGAAAGCAGCGCGGCCTTTTGCTGCTGAATAATCTCTTAATTTTCTAATCCTCCAAGTGCTGCTAAAGGAAAGGGCAAAGGGGCTGCAGGCAGAAATGTTCATTAGGAGAATGCTGAGAAGTGGGAAAGATTCCAATCCTGAAGAGCAAGTAAGGGAGAAAACTGCTGAAAATCCACCTTTGTTCTGGTAAAATCCCCATCTCCCATCCTGCTGAGCTGCTTCAATTTTCCCAGGACAAACTCGATTTTATGGAAAGCTCCCYGCAAGCATGTTTTTTTAATCACCTTTTTGTAGAAGCCAAATCTGAAGTATTTCCTGGGAAAACAAGTCTGTGTTTTGCAACCTCTTAATTCATTAAAACAAACGCTTGCTTGAAAAAACCATCTGCCGTTATTATGTCTTGGGTCYGCAAAATATTTCCTGTCTTGCATTTACTTTGCATCCAGCATCGGTATTACAAGAGGAAAACGTAAAGTTACAGAACAGTTAACATTCACCACATCTTGCACCAAACTATATGCCCGTTCAGGAGCATATTTTCATCCTTCTACAAAGTTTAGATCAAATATAGATTCTAGCTGGACAGGAGGTATGCTCTACCTGAAGAGGAGATTCTAGTTTCCAAGTCAAAATTTGGCAATTTGCAGAATTTGCTGATTAGGGCTCTCCTGCAGAAGCTTAGAAGCAGAACACAGCAGGTGTGGGCAGCTCCACACCTTAAATAAAATGAATTTAAAACAGTGCTTCTCCCTTAAAAAAAGCAAGAGTTGCATTTCAGCGAGCTGTACTGCCTATAGCCAGGCACAGTGCAAATTAAAATGCTACCTAATATCGATGGCTATTTTGGAAACGTGGGTGTGCGATGGTGGAGAAGGATGTTCTCTTATTTGCTGCAAAATCAGATGCTGGTGGTTAGGAGACCCTGGGCTCGTCAAGGGGCTGCTGAGCAGCTCTGGGCTCCCGTGGGATCAGAGAAACACTCCGGATTGTCCCTTACTCCTGGGTACACGTGGACCTGAAGCACAAAATCCCACGTCCCTGCTCAGCTGCAGCAGCTTCAGCTCGCAGCTCCTGCCTGAGTGCCCGTTCCCTTGGAAACTGCAGCCGTGTTGGGGAAAAGACTGTGTTTTTAATAACTATTTTATTATTTTCACAGGGTTCTGTTTTCCAGCCTGACAGCATCACACAGAACTGAATGATTTGACATCTGTTAAATGAGCTTTTCCCTTGCTGTAAAACCATGTTTGACTTTATTTTGTCATGGTTAAACTAGAAACCCTCCTGTGACTTTGGTTTTCCACTGCAATTGCAAGTTTCAATAGCAGATTCCTTTCCGGGATATAATAAAACTGCATGTTCTTTTGATTGCTGCTCTATCAGTAGTCAGAGTCATTTTAAATCAGAGGATTTGAGGGCTTTTAAATGTCAGTTTAGATCTGACTCAATCAAGTATCTTTAACAGTAAATTATCTGAATTTTGAAGAGACATCAGCTCCCAGTCCTACTCAAAGCATCATCAGATTCTTGCTATGTTTGTGGTATTAAGCTGGGGGCAGCCTTGCTGGAAAACACAGCATAAATGAACAAAAACATTTTACAAAAAAAAGAAAAAGGCTTATCATATTCTACATAAACACATATTATTCAATAACTTATAAGTAACAGTCACAAGCATATTTTTTCAATATACTATTCAATTTGTCAGATACATTTTTAATGAAAGACAAACACAGAGACCTTCACAAGCTCTTTATTCACTTCTCCAGGAATACTCCATCCCATTAGTAATAACCCCACTCACACTACTTACTTATCGTTTTAATTTAGTTTAATAAATAATTCCTACCTCGCCAAGTGAGTAATAGCGCCTGGGAATCTGGGAGTCAGGGTAGATGTTTTCCAGGTACCAGGAGAAGGGTTTGCACTGCAGAGTCTCCCTTAGTGCTTTCCTCACCGACACATCACCATAATCCACTTTAACAACACCTGAAATTTTGAAAAGGATACACAAAAATACAGGTTTTGAATAACTGCAAAGAATAAATCACTGATTGTTTGCCATTTTGTATGATTTCCTTTAATTATCATCCATTTGCTATAATTACAACATTGTATGAATACATATGCAACTGCTGCAACACAGATGTTTTAAGCATTAAATAAATGATTTACCAAATTGAAACRCTTGAAAACTGCATTTTTCCCCCTTTACAGATTATTTACCAATCTGGAAAGGCCTAGTCACTGAATTTCTTGATTTCTTCCCATGCCCAAATATTAAAGCCCATTCATTTAGGAGGTCAGGACTAAACTGGACCGAATCCAAATATTTCAGAGCAAATAACAACGCATCTAACTTCTGTTTAACTCAATGCTCTACTGYGTTTCTTTGTTCTGATGCTCCCAGAAAGAGGCCCACATCCATCCACGTGCTATTACAAAATCACAGCAAATTAATATACCCTGCAGCATGAAAGCGAGTGAAGGGGATGAACTTCTTCACACAAGCTAGAAAAATCAATTGTGTTGAGAAGAAATCTGTCAACCCTGCAATTTTAGTGCTACAGAGGGGAAAACTCAATATATTCAACTTCCTTTAACACAATGTGAGTGCAAGCGGTAAGCGCTGCTTTCATTTTACACTGTAAAGKATCAGCATGTTAAAGCAGAGCTCTACAGAACTCAACTCCTGTGCAACCCAATATAAGCAAAGAGCAAGATAACTTGGTCACGATATTTGATTTACTGCTTTTCAGGCAGTTTTGAGCCCACGAAGGTAGCGCTCACTATATTTACAGAGTTTCAGGTGATATTTTGAAAGGACACTACCAGATTGATAACTGAAACCCAGCTAGGTKACATGTTGCATTCCCATCATCATCTACTTTCCCATATTCATGAGATCTTTCTTGAAATTATTATAGAGATAAAACTCCAAGGATACTAGTGTATTTGCATGGGAAATCAGGCCCTGAAGCACAAGGTGCTACCAAATTGTAAAGAAACTCAGTAAGCAACAAGAGCTGACCTCTTTGTTGTTATTAAACAATAAAATCAAAAAGTCTTATCTCTATTTCCCCAAGTATTTGCCTGCTCAGTCTTTGAGAAACTAGGCTACAGTATGATTAAATGTAGGAGATGATCCAGTTCTTGATAAAAAAGATAAAACAGAGGKTGCTCTGCAGATAGCTGCTGAAGGCTGAACTCAATGCAGGGATGCACTGCATCATAGTCATCCTGGAATCCCCTTCTACTGTCTCTTAGGGATTAAAACCATCCAAAGGTCAAGGCTGTTATTTAATAATTTACTTTTTCAAATATCAATTCTCGTCCACGTACAGCTCATCACACGTGTGACCAGCCCCAGGTATCCCGATCCGTTGTTCAATTTAACACATACTAACTAAACCATGACGGTGCAGCTGACCTAGAGGACCTCCTGAGGTCCTCTCCGACCAGAATTTCCTGAATCCATTTTGATGCTCCCAGTGCTCACGTGACTTTGAGGCTCTTTCGGAATGGAACGTGCTCATTTGCACTCAAGAAGTATCGTTCATTAAGGTAATTCAGGCTCGCTGCTCAAAGTGGAGCCACGTGAAACCATTAGTCATCCTTAAAAGCCTGGAAGGGCCTTAAAATTGTCATCAGCAGAAATGAAGCATTTCCAAAATCACCATTAGAGAGAAAATGCAGATATCAGTCTCCTYTTTTCATCACAAGCTTTTCTGCTCACGGCAATGCCCATCAGTCTCATCTGAAAATATGCTTACCACACACATAAAGGGTTAATTTAAACTCCAGCTTAGATAAGGTCTCAAGATTCAAATGACACATGGGAGCATTTTCCTTCAGTAGTCGCTGTGGGTTTAACGCTTGCCGAGAGGGTTTTATCTCCATCCGAAGTGCCCTCAGAAGCAGCGGGAGCCTCCAGTTTCATCTGGATGTGCCCTCAGCAGCATCCAGGGCTGCTTTGCTGGGATTCCTTCTGCACAGGGGCTGCTCTTTGGCAACCTGCTGTCAGTAAAACATGGCAATAACACAGAAGTGACCCAAGAACATCTTTGCCTTCCAAAAGGAGGAGCTTTTTTTCACCATTCTGTATGCGTTAAGGACAAGCTTTTATGGTTGGATGACAGAGATGGGGTTCAGCTCCTCAGGGAAGAAGTACATGTTCCTGCTCTTATTTGCACTGCTTGGTTCTTATCTATACTTAAGCTAATTATCCTGACGGGAGGGCACTGAAGGCGTTGAGCAAAGCGCCTCTGCATCTCCTTCGAGCAAGACCATAGCAAGGGGGGGCAAGACCTCCTCGCTCACACAGTCCCCAGCGAGCCCCTATGCTCCCTTCCGATCCCACCTAAAACCAGCCTAATACAAACCAATACCTATTTAGTGCCCCTACTCGCTATATGATCAATGCAACACGGAGGAAGTGCAACAATAACGACCAGTAGCTCTGCTCATGTCTGAGTAAGAGAATGGGAGTGAAACATCCCTGAATGAAAAAACAGAACAAACAAAAAAAGAAATGCAACACTGGAGAAGCTGCAGGGAGGGCGACGTGCAACATAACAGATTAGAAAGGACTCGGGCAGGAAAGCAGATGAGCTGCACGGTGCAGATAGGTTTCAAGCAGAACAAATGGATGGTTACAGAACTGCATTACACCTGTGCTTTTCCTAATAGGTATATCCTGCAAATCTGCACGCAAGGAAATAGTGGCAAAATTGGGTAAATGTACCTGTTCTGCAGAAAATGACATTTACTCATAGTTATAAAGGGGGAAGTATTGCACTTGGACTGAAATACAAAATTGCAGGACTAGGAATAAAGTAGGGACTCAGTGATAAATAAAACAAGAACTTGATCTCTCTTAATTCAAGGATATTGATTACTTGGGGGCACTTCTGTRTCTTCACAAAAGTTCTGCTTCCTCTCTCTTAAGATACTTATAAAATGGCATTCATGAAACAGGACCAGCATCTAGGAAGAAAGGTTTGCAGCTCTATTTTTATCGCAGCTTTAGGTTAGGACCATAGCAGTAACTTGTGTCCTTTGAAACAACTACTAGACATGCAAGATAAGAAAAATCCCATTGCGCCATGCCTCTGTACGCAGCAGAGAGGAGTGCGAGGAGCCCTGTCCCTACAGCGTGCAAAGCACACACAGGAGAGGCCGAGACCCGGGCCGAGACGCCGGCCCACGGGCMGGGCGGCAGCTTTCTGCGAGCCGCTGTTCCTTGAAAAGCAAGAGCTGAAACATTACCTGGTGCAAAGGAGTCTCGCAGCTGAAAAGAACTGACAAACAAGCTCTGGTCTGGACAGCACGAGTGTCACTGCAGGGCAACCTCCCCTGGAAAGTCAGCTGTCACTAAAAAAATTAATTTATCCTGTGTATACAGATGATGACCAGTGCAAAAAATGAAGACTTTAACCTCAGAAATACTAGGTGTGCACTCTAATTAAGCCGGGGGATATGTTTAATGTACCACCATTGTGAATAATGACRAGCTCCTCTTTCTCTTAGGACATAATCTAGGAAACCAAGTGAGTCAGATCCCGGGGGAGAGTGGGCAGATGAGCACGCGCTGATGGAAAAGAGTTTCCGAGGCCTAATTARGAAAATGCAACTTTCTTTGTTCTCTAGCAGAATTATCTGGAGATCTCTGTTCTTCTGATTAATAAAGCAGAAGGAATCTGTGTCAGACAAAAGGATAAAAAGGAAGTTAAGCAATTCTGGTAACCATTTCTGACATTCAGCAATGACTTATAAAAAACTAACATTTCCTTCACATTTTCATTAAGATTTCTCAGTTCAAACAATGCTAACTTTGTTTTCTACATCCCCTAATTACCTTTCTACTTCTATTGCTTCTTCAACCTGGAGGACATTTCAACTGGCAGTTTATTTAGTATATTCATAAATAATAATAATAAAAAAGAGAGAATATGAAGCAGATCTAGGACTATTTAAATTATTTCCAGGGAATGAAAATGGTAACATATGTTCTTASTGATCATACTGCTGATTTTACTGACTTTAAGACCTCTATATATTCATATGGAAAAATCCCAAAACTGATGAAGGATCAACACAATTTAAGAAATTATGAGTAAATCTGAAAACTAGAAATAATGAGTGCAGAGTACTTCCAGTATGCAGTTATCATAGAGAAAGGGAAAAAAGTGCACAGCTTGCTTCTTYAACCCTAACCAAACCCGCGTGTTTAACCCTTCACAGGGAGGCAAGGCAGGTTTGTTTTTTAAACAAACAGCTTAAAATTTGTATTTCTGGCAGTTTAGATACCACTTCTCGTGCCCCCTTACTCGCAGAGTACGATATTTTGCCTTTCCCTATATAAAACAACAAGCAGGAGGTGTGAAGTCGCCCGTCATGAGGTGCTCAGCAGACCACGCCAGCTCCAAAACACCCTACAAGCCACTGGATACCACTACACAAGCCCCTTCCAAAGCTTTTTAACAAGCATTTCAAGCAATACGTTATCAAGAATTAATATTTAACCCTTTTTACATTGCGGTTAAATTTGAAAACGGGCCCAAAAGGGCACTGACTGCCCCAGGGCAGCCCGGAGGCCTCGGGCACAGCGGGAAGGGCACCAGGCCCTGATGATAAAGTCTACCACAAAACAGCAAAACACACTTCCACTTTAATCRGGTGTGTTTTCTTCCGAGTTGCTGGTTGCAAATCAATACATTGCATTGGAGATCTGACATATCAAATTGTCAGAATAGCTGAACAGGAAAATTGGGGAACTGAGGAGGATCGCTCAGGCTTTTGGAGATGGGCTGGAGAAATGGTCAGGCTTGTCAAAGGTTGGGATAAACCTGATATATTTCTATATGTCCTTTTTCTGTGTCCAGACTTACACTCTTGCTCAGCACTAAATTCCTCATTCCTGCAATCCAGAACATCTAAGCAGAATTTCTATTAAATAAAGTATTAAAAAGCCCAAGATGTACTATAGGAATCCTGCTGCAGGCAACAGGACCCTGCTTAAAAGATCCCAAAATAAAAAGAAAAGCAAGAGAAGCCAAGAGAAAAGAGAAAATCAGACGCAGGACCTGAAGCGTTGCACTTAGGAATCTGAAAATTAAAAAATGTCAAGATTTGAAGGGTTTATTACCTGAAATGCTGGCACATTTTAGAAAATCAAAGAGCTGCAATTTTCTCTTACACTCTTTTTGAAAGTGGAAAACTTTTATTATTCTACYGTATAGGTCACTACTCCAGTCACTTGCACCCTAATGCATTTTCTCAGTAACTCATTTAAAATATATTCTATTTTAAATAGCCCCCGGAACAGAACGTTTAGAGCTTCAGCTCACCTAAATGCTTTAAAAAGCAACTAACCCCTAATCTGCCTAGCAAACCTGCTGTCACGGCAGAATACCAATGCCCGGAGAGTGATAGTCCCTCAACTTCCATGAACTAAGATTATTTGCAGCCTCACACCCATAAGAAAATAAAGAAATTTCAGGTAAATTATAGAAGTGCATTAAGCTCAACAAAATGCAGTTGGAACTGAGTATTATGGGACCGCTCAGAAAGAGAACTTAATAAAGGAGAACTGAGTTAAAGAGTGGATAATCCCATGTGCTGGTATTTATGGTTTGATCTCCAATGCATCTCACCTTGATTTTAAATTCACTTGTAAATCATATTAGCCGTCCATTTCTCAGTATTAAGTTTATTGGTTTTTTTTTCATTTTTTCCCTTCCTTTTGCAGAAGAATACAAACGAGTCATGCTAAAAAATTTTAGCAGCAATCCTCAGACAACCCAAGGTGTCCTCACCCCGSGGCAAATGGTTATTCACCAAAATGTCCTCAACTCCCAGAAAACCAAAGCTGCAAAATAGCTTGGGGCAACAAGTAGGTTTTCCAGCTGCATGGGCTCAGGTAAAACACTAGGAAATTGTGCTGGAGATGAAATGCAAAATGCATGCAGATGATAACAGGGTCTGGATTTTAATCCCTGGTGACTGCAGAAATTTATACTCACAGGCCCTGTTGCTAGGGAATTCAAGTTGGAAGAAAATACACAGGTGGGAAAAAGGGAAGATTAGCCAAGAGCACGCATTAAAGTCAGGAGAACAGCTTACATAATGTATGACTACCAACTCCCACAACATTTTAAGTAATAATTTATAAATGCTATGAAAAATAATGGACTTTCATATGTGAGGYCTTTCTACATTCTGGCTGTAAATGGAAAAGATTTAGTTGTCATTTACTGCATAATTTTAAAGTATTAGTAAAACAACTGCTCAATGATTTTCCTTTTTTTACAAATACCTTTAAAATGGAAATAGCTTTCTAAAGTATATTCACTTTATTTTTTCATTTATTCCAGCCAAATAAAACAAAGTTACTGGTGCTGATGCACGGGAAAAAAAGCCTTAGATCAYAAAGATTGTTTTTAACACCAATGAAGAGATTATTTGATATACAAGTGCAAAATAGTCTTCCCCAATGAGCCAACTCACAGGTAAACACTCTTATTTTTTTGACCATTGTCACAGGTTTAARTCTTTAATTCTTGTCTTTTATCTCGGAAAAAAAAA